GTTTGGCTGAAACTAATCAGGTGTTAGATTAACTAAGTGGATAAGAGTAAGAAGGTAAGGAAATGAGAAAACAGGTCCATTAAGTTTTAAGAAGCTAATGGGTCAGAAAAAAAATAGCTGAGAATTTAGAATCTCTTAAAAAAAAAAAAAAAAAAAGGATGTTGAAGTCCAAAAAAACCCAGCTCTCAGTTAAAATCAGTTTTTCTCATTTCTGTCCTTCCAAGAAAAAAAAATCGCATAGGAGTAAGAAAAAAATCAACAAATGAGAACATAATATTTTTAATTTTTAAGTTAGTTTGGGGGCTGTATTCAATAAAATATTAGAGACATACACACTTAGAACTGAATGTCCAGGTATTTTTACTTGTATATTCACCACTTCTGAGTGAGAAGCTGTGTAATTGCACTTATTCAATGCAAGTAGCATTCACAGTGTGTCTGGTTCTGAGTGAATTATGAGCAGTATGAAACCTGTTTAAACAGTCTCTGTTTAAGACTTTGGTGGATTAATGAGTAATTTGGCATCCTCTTGAGACTTGGGTGGGAGCTAGATGCTGAATTAGGCAGGCTGAAGCAGACATGCAGAAGAGTAGAAGGCTGTCAGTGAGGATTTTGGGTGTTTTCAAAGGGATTTGAGTACTTCCACAGTTTGAAGGTTTCTGAATACAATTATATGGGAAAAATCTGGGTTGGATAAATCCTGCTGTGCAGCCTTTCTACCTCTTCTATTTAACATGTAGCCGCTAACTCAGATAATTTTCAACACATAAAGACCTGCTCAACTGAGCTCCTATCATTCACTTAAAAACAACCAATCAAACTGATTCAGTGTAATCTTTTCCAGCACACTTCATTATATTAGAGAGGGATATCTGGCAAGAGATTTGACAGATCCTGGGGCCCTGAGGAACACAATTGCTTTAACATCCATGTCTGCCAGGTAGCTGTAGCCCCAGGACCCTGTCTCAGTCATATTTGGTAGGGTACACAGGAAGAGATAGACTTTGACCCAAAGACCTTATGAGCTTTTCAATGTTTATTTTTTAATACTATTTAGTTTTTCTACATTTTCTACAATAGATTCCTCATCCTTTCTTTTCAGAACAGTGCAGAGATTTTCCCCTCTGCAGTGTCAATCCTTTATCTTTCAGTGTGTGTCTCTAGTGCTCTCATCAGTCTGTTCATTCACTCGTCCCTGTGCCTTTTCTCCCCTTATAGTCTAGTGACACGTAAGCTGATCACAGAAATCTTTATGTTCCTTTGTTCGAAGCACCTCAGCACAGTTCTTCATTTCTTCTTTCTGCCTGACAATTGTGTTCATGGCTTTGTCATCCCAGTAAGTAGGAGTACAAGAACTGGCAACATCCTGGCATCCTTTTTGAATGCACGCACTGGATGGTTTTGTTGAATGCCGTTCTGTCACGATGTTCAAAGCAAACATCTACTGCAATGCAGCTGTTTGAGCTGTGCCTGCACTTGGTACTATTTTTGTTTGCAGTTCAACATATTTTCTTAAACCTCTTTTAGTAAACTCAGATACATGCTGCAAGCTGATAGCTTTTCAGAGAAAAGCATAATCCCTAGGAGCTGCCTGCCTTGGAAAACGTGTACACGCTTTTCAATATGTCAACAGGCAATTATTCTAGCAATGTTTATTCCCTCAGTTCCCTCAACCCAGCCCAACAATTGAGTACTTTTTTCACTTGCCCTCACTTAAGAAAATCAGATGAGTGCCCAGAATTGTGAATTTTTCATCTGTGGATTGATGCAGTCACTGCTCTGATGATTTTGTTATTCAGCCTTTTCCGCTCTTTGAGAATTATATTAGAATACATATATTTCCGAACCAGGATCATGAAATTTATATCACTTATATGATAATGACTATGAATGTAAGTCCCATATTTTCAAAACCCAGATAGAGACCTTCTGAAGAGAGTCTTCACCAGTTTTTTTTTTTCCAATTTCCCTGCTACAGTGCATTCTGGCCTCAGTAAAACAGCTTACCTTCACAACATCAGAAGAAAAGCTACTTCTCTGCTGTTTTTCCCAATCAAGATAATTTCAGATTATAGGATCTTGCTCTGTGCATGCCCAGGGCCTTGGTTGTAATAATCCTTCAGAGCTGTAGTTTATTCAGTAATTAACTTATTACTGTGTGGCTCATGCAGTGTACAAGTAGTTCAGATCTTTATGGAGAATGGTCTGCTGATCTGAGAATGGCTTAAAATATTTTTATTTGGGAATATATTTATTTTCATTAAAATAGTTTAAAAAGTGGAAGATGCTTTTTATGTCTTAGCCAATTTAGAAACATTAGACATTATATTACCCCACCTCTTTCAAAGAATGAAACCTGCTAAAATGGATTTTTTTTCACATCATATCTGAAACTCTTTTTCTGAAGAAAAGTAACTGTTACAGTGCTCAGAATACTTTGATAGTGTGATAACAAATATATACTGCTGTCTGGCACGGAATGATTGCATGTTTGAGATCTGCATTTATTCCTTTCAGCTGTCTGTTAGTGATGGGTGTTTGAATCTTTGACAGCATTTATATTGCATATATAGGTAACTAACTATAACATCTATATTGAAATTTACATCTAACATCTGTACTAACATTTCATTGCTATTTAACCAAGTATTATAATACTAGTATAGCTTTCTTAATTTTTGGGAGGCTTTAGGACAGAGTGAGTTTCCCCTCCCTCCATCCTATTATAGGAATATCTCATCTGCAGCTGGTGAGAAATTGTGGGAGCTAAGATTCATCTCAAGATGCAGTGCCAAGGCCCTGACATGCTTCATCCTTTTCCTCCACAGTGAGTTCTATTTTCTGCTTATTACAGCTGTTTCCTCAGTCCCTTTTGCACAAGGTGCTTTGTTGTGTGTGTTCCTAGGGACTGTGTGGGCAGATGCAGATCATGAGAGGGGATGACGTGAGCAATTCACAAAGTCCTTTGACATACAACACAGGCAGACCATACAACTGGCTTAACATGAGGAAGCACAGGTGATGGGAAACAGCTCGGAGGTTCAAAAAGTTCTTCTTCAAGAAGAGGAAAATACTGAAGAAGAATCAGTGGGATTATTTTACAAAATCATAGAATCATAGACTATTCTGATTTGGAAGGGACCCACAAAGATCACTGAGTTCAACTCTTGGCCCTGCACAGGAAAGCCCCAAGAATCACACTATGTGCCCAAGAACATTGTCCAAAAGCTTCTTCCAACAAGCCTTTGGGTGAAAAAGCTTTTCCTGATATCCAATGTAAACCTCTCCTGGCACAGCTTCAGTCCATTCCCTCGGGTGCTGTCACTGGTCATCAGAGAGAAGACATTGGTACCTGCCCCTCCACTTCCCCTTGTGAGAATGTTGAAGAACTCAATGAGGTGTTCCCCTCAGTCTTCTCTTCCCCAGGCTGAACAAGCCAAGTGACCACAGCCTCTCCTCATACAGCATTCCCTTCAGACCCTTCACCATCTTTGTAGCCCTTCTTTGGACACACCCTAATTACTTTCTATCTTTCTCAAATGACGGTGCCCAAAACCACACAGGGCTTGAGGTGAGGCTGCCCCAGCTCAGAGCAGAGCAGAAAAATCCCCTCCCTTGCCTGGCTGGTCATGCTGTGCCCGATGCCCCCCGGGACAGCGTTGATCCTCTTGGATGCCAGGGCACTGCTGATTCATCTTCTCATCTATGAGGACCCCCTATAAGTGGTCCTGCTTTCCAGCGTCTCATTCCCCACTCTGTCCATACATCCAGGCTTGCCCCATCCCAGGAACAGAATTCGCTACTTGTCTTTGTTAACTTCATATGGTTGGTGATTACCCATCTCTCTAACTTCAGGGAAGATTTTTTTTTTTTGAGGGGGGAAAGAGGGAAGAATAAAAGCAAAGAGGAATGTTTCTGTTTCAGAGTCCGGAGTGCCCTGTGCTCTCACCTAAAGAGCAAATTATTTTCTTGTAGTGACTAACTAAATGGAGTTGATCTGATCCTTTGCTTTTGATGCAAAGTGAGACAATTGAGGATTTTAAAATTAAAGGAGTTGTGCTATTTACTGAGCAGACTGGAAGGAGGCCTGGACAGCACATCCCTATTGTCACATCCATTCTTTCCTAGCCACTACCACAGGCAATACAGTGGCATTATCCACTTGGTGGGAAGAAATGTTGAAGAAGGAACAGTGGAGGTAGGACCTGGGCCAAGAGCCTTACATCATCAAATCCTGAGCACATGGAAAGTCTCTTTGCCAGAAGAATTTCTGCTTAACAACTTTGAAGTAACACCAGTGCAACAGAAGCATGCCACTTTTGAACGTGGCTATTTCGATAGATTTGATTGTATTAGTAAAGTTCTTGTATCTCATGTATAAGAACACAAACATCTAGTTTGTCTCTTTGTTTTTCCCTTAGTATTCGCAGTTTGCTCTGGGCACTTGCAGCATTTAGGAAGAATATCCGTCTGATTTGTTGCCTGCAAGAGAGTCTAATTAAAACAAGAGTGCAGGATGGGAACTGATGACACATAGTGCAGCTGAGCTGCTCCCAAAGCTGAACATGGCAGCTGTGGTTTTTGTCATTTGCAAAGCCTCAGCCAACACGTTGGCCCACTGAGTTAAAATAAATGTCTAATTATGTTGTTTAATTATTTTGGTTCCAAATTCCTGCTTGAAAAGTATTGCAAAAGATGTGAGAGAAGCACTGAGAGTGCCATTATCACGTCTGTGGCTTGCCAGTAAATCGATGCTTTCTCTTAGTCAGGTTCCTCCCTTCCCTGTGCCTGTGGTCAGGCTGCAGAGGAAGCAGAGTGTGTGCTTGTACCAGTCTCCAGCCCTCTCCCCTCCCGTCACTTGGCACTGACTCACAGCACTGTGTTTTCAACATGATGCTAATTAGCTGCTGAGTAGTGAGATACTGTGAACTCTGAGAGAAAAGACAGAAAAAGACTTCAAAGATGTTTACCTTTTTTTTTTTTTTTTTTTTTTTTTTTTAAATTTTGACAGTAATAAAAAAATTTCTTATCACTGCGGTCTGGATCCAGCAATTTCTTATGTGCAGGAAGATATTGCGCTAGGTTATTCTGGGGTGAAGAGGCTGTGACTTTGTTCTTTGCTTTCCATGGAGTGGGCCAAAGAGAGGGAACAAATATGGATTGCTGTGCTAAATTTGGTGGCTATAATTCGACAGGGTGGTACTAGTGTGCCAAGCAGACGAAAATTGATGCAGGAAAAGAGACTGAGATTCTCCATCGGAGCAACCTCTTGGGAGGTCTTGTTAGGTCTGAGTCCAGTTTGGGGCACTGACACCTTTTCATGCACAGCTTAAGCAAATGCTCTTGGTTATAGTGACGAGGACCATTAGGTCCTTAGACCTTAGAATCTCTGTTGTTTTATTCCATATTCACAAAATCACTTGCCAGTAAATCAACTGGTAATGTCTCAATTAATGGGTCTACGGTCTTCAGATGCAGGCTGTCTATCAGTTAAGCTGTTTCTGAACCAAATGCTCATCAAAATGGTCTTTATCCAGAACCCTGGAAATAAAGTGACTTTTTACACACAAATGGTTCCCACTGGTCATGCATCTTTAATTATGTGGTGGCCCACTTCTGCCATACTGTGTTATTCTTAATTTGTCATTCTTCAAATAGCTTAATAAGCTATAAATGTCGAATACATTGTAAAAATGTAGGGGAAAAAGTTTTTGAGAAATACTTTTTTCATCTGGGTCCATTTGTCTTTTATTTTCCTGATGTTAAAGGTCTTTCCTTTCCCAGTTTTGAAAATTCTGCACAACATATAACCAATATAGTAAGTGGCCCACTTGCTATTAATTTGTGTGATCAAGACCTCTGAACTCCTCAGGGAACACTTTGAGTCAACAGTTTGCATTCATCAGGCTCATGATTCACACACAAATAAACTGACTGTAGCTGATGTGCTTGCTTAGTTATCTTGAGATCATGATTTTATTCTTCCACAAACGGGAGTTTCACGTTTCTCATAATTATACTGAGACCTCTTTGTTTTCACATGGAACAAATAAGAGGGGAAAATGAAAGCTAGAGGTCCAAGAAGTCAAGTCTTTTCTTTATCCAGTGTTTTGGTCTTCTTTGATTGATGAACATTTTGAATTCCAAAGGGATTTACTGCAATAACAGTTGTTAATTATTGCAAAGGAAAACTGGCTGAAGAGAAAAAATACTTGTCTCCAGAGTTAGGTGTCAGTTGGCTGCAGATCTCTCTTCAGTTGAGGGAATATTGATACTATGAACAATGACTGCACACCACAGTCAACTGAAAAACCAATTGATTTATTAGTAATTTTTTTGGAGCATGTGGTCAGTCAGTGATATTCTCCTTTTCCAATCCAGGTATTCTGATTTTAATTCTCAGTTTTCTCTCCAAACAGATGCTTTTTGTAATTAGAGAATTACAAAAAGACTTTCTGAAAAGTCTACATAGAAGGAAAAGTATGTTTAACTTATTTTGTTCTAGTATGGTCTTGTGAGGAGTTCAAATGTGATGACTGAATACAAATCTTGGTGACCTATGGTAGGAATTTAAATGAAAGATTTTTATTTCTCTTAAACTGGAGATAACATAACTTACAAATTGGCAAAATGCAAAGCTGGAGGAAAATTAAATTAAATATTTCCAGCTGCCCTTGGATCTCTAAAACTTGTCAGTCCCTTTCCTTGTTTCACTTTTTGCATGTGCACATGTGAATAATATTTTATTCTCATATGTATTTCAGGATTTATTCATGTCTATTTGTTTAAACTGTGTAATCCATAAATATGTAGATTGTTGTTAGCTTTTATCCAGATACCAGCCATAATTCCTTTTTATCTTGTTCATTACTTCATATAATTCAAAGTAAATCTAAAACAGCATTTTATTTTCTGCACCTTTTAGCATTACTCTTCTACAAAAGAAGTGAAAACTGCTCTTCTATTTTTTTTAGTGAGGGAGAATTACTTAAGGGATATTAAAATATACCATGATTACTCCTGCTTACTAAAATCCCTGATCTGATCCCAGGTCATAAGAAGATGAAGGAGACAGAAATCAGTGTTAACTATACCTGTCCAAATGTGAGTTTTCTCCTGAGTATGCAAAGGAAGGTCATGAATCAACACACCCCATGCTGGACCTCTGCTGGTGTGACCACATCTTGGCTGTGGGGATGCACTTTGCTACTTTTGAAGGCTTCCACTTACCACAGCCAACTGTAAAGCAGAAGGACTTTACTGCCAGCATGAGGCCAGCGTGGGAGCATGTGCTGCTGCTGTCTTTTGCAGCTCATCTCGCTGCTCTGTGAAGGTGCTTTATTTATCAGTTGCAATGAGCATGAGGCCTCCAGGCCTGAGATTTCATTGTGCCACAGGGCCCAGAAAGGCAACCATGCTTCTCAGGGACAGCAATCTTCCTTCAGCTGCAAATGCAAGAGGGGACTACAATTAATATTACACAGTGCATGTTTTGAAAAAATACTTCATCAAAACTGTGTCAGCTTTAAATTTTTAAGTTGGATATTATCCTGGATTTTCAAACACTTTGTTAAGTAATGGATACATACAGGTTCTTGCAATTATAGAGGAGTGAAACTTTCACAGCATGTCAATGGCACATCCTGTCGCTGTCAAAAGGTGACACAGGTGAGATTTCCAAGGCAAGTATTAATTAAGCTAGCAAAAGGGACAGTGAAAGCTGTTATGTTAAGGATAGCTTTCCACATCAAAATCCATGCTTGGAAAATGTGAATGATGTTTTCTTTTTAAAAGGCTGCAGTAAAATGGGAATGGAGGAAGGAAGAAAAAAACAGAATGTAATATGCTCACTTTTTTTCTGCCAGCTTGTTAATGCTTGTTACCTTTATACAGCTTTTCTGCTGTTAAAATTGAAAGAAAATACCTCTCTTACATTTCAATGAAAAAATGTAAAAGACTGAAATGGACACATTCCTGCAATATCTTCTTATTCAGAACATCTCTGGAATTTTCTGGTACTTCAGTGAAACATTTAGGTGTCCCACATGGTTTCTTTTCCAGTTTTCAGTATTCCCCTCATGGGGATGGTCACTGGCTCCCTGACTAATCATGCCATCCAGTTGCTGTATCTCTTTCAACTTTAAGTGTATGTTTACACAGTTAAATTAAGTGTTCTGTAAATTAAATGCTCTACTAAAATCCAGGCAGGAGGCTGCCATTGGTGGATGCAGATTTTTTCCTTCAAATCCATTGTCCTTTCCAGTGAGAAATTGCCAGAGAACCCCCCTCTTCTAGGTTTCTTATTCATCCACAAAGGTAGTGTAGGCCAATATCAACTTTAACTTTCAATTCTCACATGAGAGCAGCTCTAGATAGTTCTGTTGTAAGTTTCTAAGCTACACTGCAAAATTTTTGAGTGCTGAATGGCAGCTGCAAGGCATGAGTTGCGTCACTGTGGAGGCTGGGCAACTTCACAGTGAGGACACCAGTACCTGCTTGGGTCTACATCCAAAAGGGGCTTACTTGCCTTTTGGGCTTTGCAACACCTAACTTGAATTTAGAAATTAGGAAGAACTCTTTAAGAGATCAACCCCCTTGGATAAAGAATCATCTGGGTATAGCAGCAAACTTTGGAAGTGCTACTACCCTGACTTTTACCTTATTGTAACGGTAGCCAGAATTAAATACATGAAATTTGGGCAAAATTTGAACATAATTAGTAATTATCTCAATATATTTTCTAAATACATGACTGAGTGAAATTCTAGTTCATTATTTTCATTTTTTTTCCTCATAATTAAATGCTTTTGGATATTTTGTACTTGGGAACAGTTTTTATTCTTTAATACTCATTAAAAACCATGACCAAGGTGCAGAGTGTAGCTTTAAAGCATCTCACAAGTTTTCTATTTCAAGATTCAGAGCATCAAAATTATGATCTGTCTGAAATTATAAATAAGCCTTCTTCAGAATGTTTGCCTTTATGATCTCCTAATTTGCATTTCTCCAATATTATTTGTTATTTAAAATACAATTTGCCTTGTTTTGTTTTGATGCTTGAATTTCATGTTACAGTAGCAATAACACACTCCAGTTGAGCTTCACCCTGCTTGAGTGCTTAAAAAACCATTTGCCTTTCTATCTCATACCTTTTAATGCCTCCTGCAGTCTGCAATATCCATTCAAGAAATTCACTGCTTGTCATGGCCTATTGGTTTAAATTAAAAAAACTAAATTTGGAAACTCCACATGCTCTGCTATCAGTTTTTCTAGTGTAAAGCTGTCTTACCATGAGAAATTGCCAATGGACTTCACCATACTTGAAAAAATTAATTTAATAGAGTAGAAACAGAGTAGAAGAATATTTTGGCTGTGTCATCTTGGTGAAATATAGTATAGATATAAATGTGAAACTTGTAAAAAAAAATCCAAATTATTTTAAAGCAACCTCTGCCTCGGGAGATTGAATGCACCATGGAGACCCTGAGGTGGAATGTGACATGGCAGCGTCAGTCGGAGATACACAGGTCAGGAGGCACTACAGGAACATCAGCAAAGCAGCATGGGTGTGCCAGCCTGTGCTGCATGATAATTGTGCCTCTTGGTGACAGCTTTTGTGGAGACATGTCTGTTGGCTGTGATGTAAACACAGCAGTTCAAGAGCGTCCTAAGTCGCCACAGCCTTTTGCCTTCAGGATAGCCCCCAAATCCCTTTTTGCTTGACTAGGCCTACTAATGTTGTACTTAAAATCCTGGGGAAACTGACAGTCAACAAAGCAGGTTTGCACACTCAGCAGGGATGCCATCCAGAAGAACCTTTTGGGACAAATTTTGGAAGTGGACCTGTGTTCAAGACCAAGTGCGAGGCCCTGCACCTCAGTCAGGGCAATCCCAAACACAAGTACAGACTGGATGGAGACCGGATCAAGAGCAGTGCTGTGGAGAAATATTTGGGGTGTTGGACAAGAAACTTGACATGAGCCAGCAATGTGTGCTTGGATCCCGGAGGTTAACCATGTCCTGGGCTACAGCCAATGCAGCATGGCCAGCAGGCTAAGAGCAGTCATTCTGCTCCTCTACTCCACTCTTGTGAGACCCCACCTGAAGTTCTGCATTCAACTCTGGAGCGCCTAACATAAGAAAGTCATGGACCTACTGGAAATGAGTCCACAGGAAGGCCATGAAGATGCCCAATGGACTGGAATACTTCTTCCCCTATGAGGACAGGCTGAGAGAGTTGGGGTTTAGCCTAGTGAAGAGAAGTCTCTAGGGAGATGCTACAGCAGCCTTCCAGTACCTACAGTGGCTACAAGAGAGCTGGAGAGGGACTTTTTGCAAGGGTATGTAGTGATGGAACAAGAGGGAGCAACTTCAAATTATAGGAGGGAATATTTACAGTGTTAGAAAGAAATTCCTTACCCAGAGGGTAGTGAGGCATGGGAACAGATTTCCCAGAGTTGTGGATGAACCACACCTGGAAGCATCCAAACCAGGCTGGCTGACACTTTGAGCAACCTGGTTTAGAGGAAGGTGTCCTTCCCATGGCAGAGCAGTTTGAACTAGGTGATCTTTAAGGTCCCTTCCAACCCAAACCTTGCTATGTTTCTATGAGAGTGTCACACCCAGCAGTGGGTGTGACAAAGATCTCATTTCTCTTATATATCTAAGACTACTGTATCTCCCACTGGAAAGGAATATTGCCTGCTCTGTACTACAGAGGAGAGCTGATCAGTAAAAGCACATAACCAAGGGTGAACACAGTTGTTATGTAAAGGGCAACAAGCGAGTCTGTAATAACTCCTGGCTCAAACCCAGCACTGCAAATGTGACTCTAGATAGCTCAGATCAGTGAGGTGCTCAATCTGTATTATTACACTTGCATATATGCCTGGTTTATCAATGCTTAAGACTTGGCAGATCAGCTTCTGATCAATCTGAAGGGCAATTTCCTTTACAGCATCCTACCAAATACCATCTAGAGATAAGTTTACATAAAAAACTGAAAATCCAGGCATTTTTAGTGTTCACTTAATGGATAGGATGGGATCTCTTGCAATAATGTAGTAGAGGCCTGTATTGGGAAAATAAGTTGGTTTACATGTAAAGATTCAGTCACACCATTGGAATGAGGGAAGTCTAGATTAAATACTTTCAGTAGATCTGTCCTGTCCCAGGGTAATGCCCTCAAGTGGCACAGAGCATTGAGTAAGTTTGACCTGTGTTAAAGCTGTGCCCTTGCGCAGGCACACAATGGTAAAGTTTTATGGATACCAGAGAGAAGAGTATAGCTGGGCCCTTGGTATATATACCTAATGTTTTCAAGCAGATGCCAGCTTTGTATCTTCACATGCCAAGCTGGCTGAATGTGAGCCAGCTCTCAGCTGAAGCTGTGCAGCTCTAGGTAATGCATTGCTGGCTCTAGGATAATCAGAATCAGGATTTCTTTAGGCTGGATCCACTGCCACTCCAAAGCAACTAGAGAATATTCAACCTGCTGATAGAGCAGGCACCTCTTAAATAAGGGCACCCAGCTTTGAGGTACCTGGAGAAGGCCTTGGACTCCAGTCACAACCTCCAACTGTTCCTGGGCTTGTAGGTGTTCTCCTTCATCTATGTCACAGAAATCATACCAAGTTTGGATTGATCACAGCATGATCAAAGCCATGCTGTGACAATAAGCAATTTGAGCTTCTCTTTTTTCTGTACCTGACTAGACGACTATAGAGCTTTTCAGTGTTTATAGCTTTATAACTTACTTATCTCCAGGTGACATCACGTGCTGTGGATTGACTGCAAATTGACTTTTGTTCACTGTGTATCTCTAACTCTAAAAAATAAAGTTATTGTGGAATTGTGGTTGAAAGAATTGTCTCTTCACTTAGTGTTAGCTCATATGCTGTATCACTTTTTTTCTCTTTTGTGATCAGTTTAACATGAAAAGCTGTTACATATTTAGTCGACATTTCCATTTGCAGATTTTTTCTCTTTTTAATATTAATACGTTTTTGTAAAACAGTGTAAATCTTGATATGTAAAGGATTAATATGCGCTTTTATTTTCAGATGGCCTGTGCATTAACATTCCATAAATAGCCCAGTTTTCCCCCTGAATTGATAAGTAGTCAAATACTTCCACTAAGGACATTTTTACTTTATCATCCAGAATGTGAACAAATTTAAATTTAACTGGCAATTATTGGTGATGAATGGAAGTAAAATATATGAGTGTTTTTCTAATTTAGTTTCCTTAATCTCATCTTCAGTGCTGCTAAGTAATTGCTTGAGAAACCTTCAAGACAAAAGGCTCATAACAGGCTCAAAGACTCCTATTGCTGTCGTGCCAACCAATTTATGTTGCATCAGCATAATCCACCAAGAGATTCTAGCCTCTGATCCCAGGAACCTTAAAATTATTTTTATTTGCATGAAGGCTCTCTAAAGAATAT